AATTGCAGTAATTGGTGCGGAAGAACTAGTGGGTAAGTTAACAATGGGAGTGTGAGATGGTTGAATTTTTGTGAAAAGTGTAGAATCAGATGTAATATGATATGTAGCCTGCTATCCAAAATCCATGGTTTGCTAGAAACAGAATTAATTGAAGGGACAGTAAAGGTGGACATACCTGCTGCATTAGCAAATGCATGGTTATTACCAGAGGATGATGCATTAGTGCTGACTAGTGACATGGCTGTGGCCAATTGTGGGTTTTGTGAAGGCTGTGTGACACTTGAAGAGTTGGCTTGCTGGGCCGCATGTGCGGATGGGAAAGATGAGCTCGTATGTGGAACAAACCCACGTGATTGCTGTGTGAAGGTGCGTGTGTTACTACCTAAGAAACAGGAATTTCGGCGTGAGTTTGCACCTCGATTGGACCCGTCGTTTTCATTCCTAGCATGATTTCCTTGACCGCTTGATTTCTAGGTTCCGTCCTTGAATCGGCAGGTTTCTTCTGTATGTCCATTTTGATTACAAAAATTGCAATGCAATTTTAATTGCCTGCAATATGCAATTACGTGACCATTGCAATCACAATGATCACAATGTTTATTTCTGGAGTTGTTTGGACGACTTTGGAAAGCTACAGCAATAGAAAAGTTCTTGGTTGTTCCTGATGTCATATGTCGTTGTGTTTCCTCTTGAATGACGAGTGAATAAGCTTGACGGACTTTAGGCAATGGTGTTATCATGAGGATGTTGCTGCGAACGCCTCTGAATGTGTCATTGAGGCCCATGAGAAATTGCATCATCTTATCTTCTTCTCTTTGTTCGTTGTGTGCTTTCATCTCATTGCAGGTGAGAGGAGTTTTGTATGTCTCTAATTCGTCCTAAAGGCCTTTGAGTTTTGTGAAATAGGCCTCGACTGTCATGGTGCCTTGTGAGAGAGAGGTGATAGACTTCTAGATCTGATAGATTGTTGGTGCATTCTTTTGTGAAAATATTGATCTTTGAATTGTCCCACACTCGTTGGGCAGTTTTGGCATGAACAACCCTTGGGCTAGATCAGGCTCCACTGAGTGAGCAAGCCATGATAAAATCATATTGTTGTACTAATTCCAGAGAGCATATTGTGTCGGGTGTTCTGTTTCTGATGGTGGCTGAATGGAGCCATTGACAAAGCCAATTTTCTTTTTGGCTGTGAGAGCATGCACCATGGATTTACTCCAAGATGGGTAATTGGCGCTGTTCAATTTTGTTGGAACGAGCATATGACCAGGATGATCTGAATGATGAACATAGTATGGGTTTGATGAATCCATATCGAGATTACCGTTGCTATTGTTCGAAATTTTGGAATTGGAATTTTTGGTTTCTGGGGGTGTTGAATATTCACCTGCCATGGTGTTGGAAAGTTTGCTAGGGTTATGAGAGGGTCAAGTAATCAGGCACTAGGAAGGTGCTCTGATACCACGTAAAGAATGTTTGGTTCAAAGGTTTTGTTGTATTGACAATAGTAGAGTACAACAAAATACCAATATTACAAAGTCACCGTAGCGTGATCCTCAATCCTAGGGATTGATTTGGATTTGTCTACCTATATCAAGTAAATTACTCTATGTATGGCTATAATTAACATATTACAGTAATAACATATCAATTACAATATATTATTCTAATAGGAAGTACAATCCTAAATGAAATAGAAAATAAATCTAAATTACAATAAAAAATAAATATAATAAGAAACCAAAATTCTAACTAAATAAGGACTTGCCAACATGTTTGAGGGTATAGATTTAAAAATTAACCTTGAAACGAGAAGGACAATGATCCATTTCTTGAGGGGGGAAACCCTAATTTACTATTATTTATTAGACTAACAAATATAAGACAATATTGTTTTATGTGTTAAGGTTTAAATTTTAAGATTTGGGGCATCTAACTATATATATATATATGAGGTATTCAGTTTGTTATCTTAATCAACTGGATATAACTTAACATGTATAATATAATTGTTCAGGTTTATAATTTTTTTAATCAATTATAAAAAATAAAATAAAAAGTGGTGGAGAAGGAATGGGACCAGATGAGCATGGAAAAATTTATAAAATAGAAGAGGGTCACTGGCATACAAGGACTTGACGCGCAATTTTCAAACCGATCCATCTCCTACGGATCAGGGTTTTATTGAATTTAATTTCATGTCATTTTCCTTTGAAAAAAACTTTTATTACCAGATGGTAAGCCAATGATTGAAACTGTTTAGTTTTCAGGTTCTTTTTTTCACCTTAGATGACCACGCACCATCCAATTTTATCAGGGTTAATTCTTGAAGGACGACGGAAAGTTCTGATCAGAGGCGGCCCATGGGGTGTGCGAGCTGTGCGACCGCACAGGGCCCCCAAATTTTTCCGAGTCAACGTATTCAATTAATTAAAACATGAAAATAAAAATTAAATATTAAATATCACCCCACAACGCCACATGCATGGCCCCAAAACCAAAACCAAAATTGAATTGAATATTAATTATCAACAACTTCCACGACTTAGAGAGTAGAGGCCCTAATTTAATTCGTTTTCTCTTCTCATTATAATATTCTTTTCTCTTTCGGTAAGTCTCTCTCACTCTCCTCCATCAAAATAAATCCTTTTCTCTTCAGTACCAGTGTACCACCCTCTTCCATCAAATTTTGGATTGTAAAAACCCAAGCTTTAGCCCTTTCCCCAAAATCACAGTTCTTTTCTCCCTCCCTCATTCACATGAGAATTCACCGAGCATTGAAATTGGAAAATCAATTTATCAGCTATGTGATTTGGAAGAGTGACTAAAGAAATTTTTCTGGGAAGCTCTTTCCAAAGGTGTTCTTCCCGTGTCGGAAAATTTTGTTTCTATATGGATTTTTTTCTCCTACTTGTATATGTAGGGCCTCGACATCCATATTTGCACAGGGCCTCCAAAATCAGTGGACCGGCTCTGGTTCTGATCGTTGAAATAGACCAAGGAGTTGTGATGTAAAAGTCTGAAATTCTTTTTTTTGATGAAAACAACGGTGGAACATTACAAAAAGGCAAAGTCATCGGGTATCGAACCCCCAACCTCCTTCCTCGATCACAATCGTTTGACGAAGTCCAGATCCAATGCATCATCCACATCACCAACATCACTCGCGCTCTTGGTCACCAATGAAGGACCTCAGATGTTAATCCTCGGACGTACTTTGTATTTTATTATTTTATAATTAATAAAGGTCCGACGAGAGTTATTCATAGTCAACATGAATCTAACTTTTTGCAGACCGATGAAGTTAGACATTGTAATGACTATGTAATTATTTGTAGTGTGTATGCATGCTAAATACAGAGAATATCAAGTTATTGAAACATGATGAATTGACACTTCTCTATGAATACTAGGAAATGTGAAGACGCGTTTATCTAAGTTGATGTTGTAGTTTGTTTACTAATAAACGATAGGCATTGGCCCATAGTTTTTACGTTGTTGAGTTCAACACGTTGTAGGCCTATCATTGAGCTTTGCTTCATCACCTCATCATAAGGACCGGAAATCTCTCAAATGCTTGCGCAATTTTCGAAAAACTATATTTTTTTTCCAACACTCATCAAGAATGAATCCTTTCACATTTGCCTCTTGCCTAATTCTCCAATGTCACTGACACTATAGTTCTCTTGGTTTGATCCCAAGGAACGAGTGGGATCAAATATTCATGTGTACCAATGAAAGATTGGATAAGAGCGAGAAAGATGGTCCGTTCTAATCATGCATTTATCAGATAGATGTGAGACATTAGAGCATCCATAATGAATTTCCTAAATCACTTGTTTAGACAAATTTTAGGGAGGAATTGAAAAAATACAACTTCAACCATGTTCCCTATCCATCTCCTAAAATAAAGAGACCTCTAGGAGCTCCTAAATCTTAGGAGAGAGAAAAGACTCATCGTGGTTTCCTATTCTAATCATGCATTTATTAGATAGATGATTCATTCTAATCATGCATTTATTAGATACATGTGAGATATTTTGCTAACTATTTTTTTATATTATTTTTTGTAGAGATGAACCAATCAAATTGAATTGAAAAATAACTATAGTATTTATGACTCCCTCAACTAGGAGTATTGGAGTTCAAATTTTATAGAGAACTCATATAATAACTTTTGTGTATTTCTAGCTAAATTTTAACTAAAAAATATGGAGCATGATTGTAGATGCTCTTATCTTGCGTGGTTGTTAAAGATCGCTTCATCTACCAGGGTAATAAGGAGCTTGAACCTCGCCAGGTAACAGATAGTAGACTGATCAAGCTCACCCATCATTAAACTGACATCTAAGAGTGCATGACTCTCTTTTTACCCTTTCTGAAAGCTTTCACTAATGATGGTCATAACTACATAAGTGAAGGTCAGATATCATTTCTAGTTTTCAACAACAATGTAAATAAATATTAAGAGGAAAAGAACACTCAATGATGCTAAATAATGCTAAGGTAATTTAAAAAACAGGTTTAAAATTAATATGATTTATGAGAAAAATTAATGAACAAATTTGGCTTCTATATTTGATGAAAAAATCTAATTCACCACTCCATTCACTTTACATTCTCTTGTATTGGTTAATTTTTTTTTATTTTTTATTTAAATTATAACCGGTATTTAAAAAAAATACAATTACCAAAAAGATCCTCTAGAAATCTTATAACAAATTTTAACTTGAGCATTACAAGGCAGAGTAATTGGAATTTTATTTTGACTTTAAAAAGAAGAGGGAAAGAAAAAAAGTCTCTTCATTTTAGCAGTATATATAAGGCTGAGTAAAGTGGGACCTAAAAACTAGCCAAAACTCGAAAAATCACGCATGAACACAAGCAAATCAAGCAGCCCAAGATATCCGGGATTTTGAGTATTTGGACCCAACGCGTTTACTTGATGGGTCCGTCCTTACACTCACACAGAAACCTGTCTAAATATAATATAATAAATACCGCCAGTGGTAGTAGATAGAGACAGACAAACCCATTCTTTTCCTCTCTCTGCTTCTGCGTATTCTACTAGGCAGGCACCCTGGTAAACCAAAGGTTGATCCTTTTCTTTCTCACCTATATACCCAATGTTATTTTTGCTCAATTGGGTAGCCTAGTTTCGTGTTGAATTATTCAAATTTGATAGCTTTTTATTGATTTGTTTTTTGATTTTAGTATTTTTCTTTTGCCTTTTTCTTTTGTCCTGTTTCTGTAGACCTTTTCTTGGTTTTGCGGTCTTATATGTTCAGTGACTTTAGTTTGTGATCCACAGATTCAAAGGTGTGTTCTTTGTTGTACAAATTGCTGATTCAGTCGCTGATCAAGCAAGGTTTTGACCCTCTCTGGGTTCTCTTTATTTGGTTGTCTTGTCTCAAGTTTCATCATTTTTGTGTAGTTGCAGTCTTGATTTATTTTTTCTGTTTCTTGTATCGAAGGGAATTCATCTGTCATAGATGCTATATCAGAAAGTTGGTAATTGTGATTTCTGTTTGTTGATTTGGTGGTAGCAATTATACATCTCTTTTTAGGTGTATAAATCCATGCTTTTTATTTTACATCTATAAAGTCAATCTAGAGGGATTTGACTTCTCAAATTTGGAGATTGGAGATTGGATCTTATGTATTTTGTTAAGACATTCAGTAGAGTTAGATATTGCTGCTGAGGAAGTGTCAAGGAAGGAATTAAGTGTTGGTCTAAATGGGGAATACTTGTGTTGGACCGAGCATTTCCAAGAATGGATTCTTCCAATCGGTTTCGGCTGTAATGTGGCCAAACCGGTTGCCAGATGACTCAGTTCACACAAACGGAGAAACTATCAATGAGACATCAACACCTAAGGAACCTGAGTCACCTATGCCGGTACAAGACAAACCACCAGAACAAGTGACAATACCAAAACCAGAAACCGAGCCAAAGCAATCCGCAAAACCCAAAAGGCCACCACAGATGAAGAGGGTATCTAGTGCAGGACTTCGGACCGGTTCAGTGTTACAAACGAGAACTGGAAAGTTAAAGGAGTTTTACAGTTTGGGGAGGAAACTGGGACAGGGGCAGTTTGGAATAACGTTTTTGTGTGTGGAGAAGGCGACAGGGAAAGAGTTTGCATGCAAATCGATTGCAAAAAGGAAGTTAGTAACTGATGATGATGTGGAGGATGTGAGGAGGGAAATTCAGATAATGCACCATTTGGCAGGGCACCCAAATGTTATATCTATTAAGGGTGCGTATGAGGATGCTGTAGCAGTTCATGTAGTTATGGAATTATGTGCAGGAGGTGAGCTCTTTGATAGGATTATCCAGCGTGGGCATTATACAGAGAGAAAAGCAGCTGAGCTAAGTAGAACTATAGTTGGAGTTGTGGAAGCTTGCCATTCATTGGGGGTTATGCATCGAGACCTTAAGCCAGAGAATTTTCTTTTTGTCAGTCAGGATGAGGATGCACTTCTCAAAACTATTGATTTTGGATTATCTATTTTCTTCAAGCCAGGTAATTGTCATAGCGCTGTTTTCTTATTATTGGAATCTCTTTTTAGATATTCTTCTATTAATGTTACTTCAGTTATGATGCTCGAGGCTTTAAGTCTATCATGCCCCTACCAAATGAAATGCGATCTAGTACAATATTGTGCATAAAACTGATCACAGAAACTTTTTTGTCTAAATATTTCATTGCCCATCTGCTCCTTTCAATCATCTTTAAAACAGTATCCATTCACTCACTTGTCTTACAATATGCTTTGAATTTGAGGGAGATTCTCCAATAAGTATTTAAGTTAAGGATTGGTTACATATTTCTAATCTCGGCCGTTGGATTGCATTCATTAGATGTGTTGGTAGATTTAATATGCAACATACATGCAATCCAACGGTCGAGATTAGAAATATGCAACCAATCCTTAACATAAAATACTTATTGGAGAATCTTCCTTGAATTTGATACTCAATCATGTTTTAACATTTCGTGGCTCTGTTCTGGACCATTATGCTGTTGTACCATTTGTCTCTGAACTAATCACTTCTAGCATGCAAGCTTTTTCTTTAGTAAACATCCAGTTAACTCATAAGTTTTCTTGGATGCTTAAATCTGGGAATTGGAATACCTGAGGCCATATTTACATTATACTCCCACTTTAAAAAGCTTTAAAATTTTAGAATTATCTTCTTCCAGGCTTCAAAGTTCCAACTAAAAGATCTGATTGTGGAAACCAGACGTAGTCTGGTAGCTTCAAAAACAGGGGAAAGCAGGGGCAAGACTGCTATACAATTGCTTATGTTACATTGGGTTCCCTAAGAAAATTTAAAATTTTGATAATGAAATTTAAAATCGGAATTTTTTATTTCATAATCTTGTGTAGTTGATAGTATTTACAAAAACCCTCAAAAAGTAAGTACAATAACATATGATTCAAGTTATATCTCATGAATGGTTTAGAACTTATATGAATTTTACGAGAAAATGGGAGTTTAGAACAAATGCTATAATTTTTTATGGATGTAAATTCGTATCAATAGATTTTTTTATGATAAGCGTGATCCCTAATCTTATTACCAACACATGAAAGTTTTAAAGGGAACATAAATAACCTAACCTAAGTTTTTTCCATAACGGTCACTTCTTAAATAAGCATTACACAAAATATCCGAGAGCCACTAATTTTTCATTGGCATTGCATCTTTTTAGTATAAATATATTTCTTGCTCTATCCATTCAGTAGCCTATATACCTTGAGCTGAGACTGGGATGATATTTGTATTACCAATAATTCCAAGTCATTCTCTTATTATACACTATTCAACCATTAACTCTGCAATCATACTCACTGAAGCCTGAGACCCCAGACTGTCTTCTTTCTACTTTTGTATCTTGGCCCATTTGTTTGGCTTGTTTCATGCAATGTACCACCCTCTTTTACAGTTTTGGAAAAGTTCTGGTTTGGGGGAGCTTTTATGGCGCTCTATTCCTATATAGTCAAATAGCTGTTGTGATTGCAAATGGCTTCACCTTCACCTATGGGATTTGTATAAGCCAACCCTCTGTCTTCTAAGAAAAAATAAATTCAGCCAAATGAATCATCTTCTTTTACAGTGTAGGACAACTTATGGTTTTGGATAGCTTTGTTGTAGTATTCCTAAATAGTCAAATTGCTGTAATGATTGCAAAATGTATCACCTCTGGGATATGGATAAAGCAAACCTTTGTTCATGCACATGGTCATTTTGGAAAATGAAATTTTGGAATTTCATGGCAAAAGCTTGTTACCAAAAAAATAGAATACTTTGTTAAAGTTTTAATAGTCGAAATGATAGATTCCATCAGTGGAAATTTAAATATAATATTTGAATCCATACAAATTTCTAGGATGCATTGGATATGATTTTATGGTAATGCAAATAACCATACATGAATTCCTTTTCTGTGCATGGTTTCCGAACTTAGTTCGGTAAAGCATGCTTCTTTTCTGTGCTCTTTTGACTCATTGGTACTTTATTTTTATTTTTAACAAATAATAACTAGAGTTGAAGATTAAACTATTCAGAATTTAATGATGGAATCTAGAGTTGAAAGATCCATGGTTGCCTCCTTGCAGGAGAAAAATTTAGTGATGTGGTTGGAAGCCCATATTATGTTGCACCTGAAGTTTTACGAAAGAGTGATGTGGTTGGAAGCCCATATTATGTTGCACCTGAAGTTTTACGAAAGCGTTATGGTCCAGAAGCAGATGTCTGGAGTGCTGGAGTGATCCTTTACATTCTGTTAAGTGGTGTACCTCCATTTTGGGCTGGTGAGAACTTTTGACTTGATATACATTTGATTCTTGATGTTCTTTCATGCTTTAATAATTATGATTTTACTTTTGATCATTGTAATAATTTTCCCCATTTTCTTGTTTTTACTTTACTTTGTTGTGATTCCACAGAAAACGAGCAAGGAATATTTGAACAGGTCCTGCATGGTGACCTCGATTTTGCATCAGATCCTTGGCCTAGTATTTCTGATGGTGCCAAAGATTTAGTGAGAAGGATGCTTGTTCGAGACCCTAAAAGGCGATTGACTGCACATGAAGTTTTGTGTGAGTCCCTTTCAATGTTTAAAAAAAAAAAAAAATTATATATTCTTTCAGGATTGTTGATTGTGAAATTTGAGGATATTTATTTATGGCTAGGGTATTGGACTAATCAGAATCCAAAAAGGATTGTACTGAAATGCATATTTGTACTTAATTTCTTCCAAATCACCATTGGATTGCTCTACTTGGAGCCTAGGTCATAGGCCTTAAGTACTCTTCTGGACTGTTAAAAAATCTTAATATTGATGTGCTGTCCAAAAAGGATAAAAGAAAGTGGAAGTTGAACAAAAACAGGTGCAAATATGACTGCTGAGTAATTCTCCCATTGATGTTCGCCCTTTCAGTTCTTTTTGTGAGCTCTAATGCATGCAGCATCTACCTCATATACTTCAAAAGAAAGACAATTTCCTGCCTAATCATTTGTGTATTATGTGTCTCATCAGCGTTGTTTTTCTTTATTTGGTATTAAAAAATTTACCTTGTCGTTCAAATCGGCAATGTAAGGTTAGAGTAGATGTGATTGTTAATGATTAAGTAGAAATATAAAGAATTTACACATTACCATGATGTTTAAAAAGCCTTAACACAGCAGTTGAAGTCGGATCTTATTTTTTAAACCTCTTAGGAAAGCGCAAGGATCACTTCGGCTGCTACATATTTAGGCATTTTTAAGTTATATGTATTTTGTTGTGATCATTTTTACGCATGTCATTTTCTTTTAATTGATTACATGGGTTTTATTCCTTTCAGGCCATCCCTGGGTGCAAGTTGATGGTGTGGCTCCTGACAAGGCTCTTGATTCTGCAGTTCTAAGTCGCTTAAAGCAATTTTCAGCAATGAACAAGCTCAAGAAAATGGCTCTCAGAGTAAGTATCTGAATGTGCCAGGCACAAACATTAGATATTTGGAGCGCTAAATAATTGAAGTTGTTGCATAAAACTTATTGAAATACTTAAGTTAATAACTTTTGTCTTTTGGCGGGAACTTTGATTAATAACTTAAACGAAGTGTTTTTTGGATTGTCTTTCACCAAGAAGGATGATAATTTCTTTTTTAATTTTTTGCAGGTCATTGCAGAGAGCTTATCTGAAGAAGAAATAGCTGGCCTCAAAGAAATGTTCAAGATAATAGACGCTGACAACAGTGGTCAAATCACTTTTGAGGAACTTAAGGCTGGATTGAAAAGATTTGGAGCTAATCTCAAGGAGTCTGAAATTTATGATCTAATGCAAGCAGTACGTACAAGATCAAAGTTGGAGTCCTTTCAACTTTAGTAATTTATTATCTTTTTCAGGAAGTCAGAAGTAGAATAGTAGGAACACATATTTTACCCCTAGAAGACTTGACCAAAGTAATAGACGCATGCCTCTCTCTCTTAGTTCTACCTGCCACACTTCGTCTTACCCTCTCTGGCTGGTGCTTTTTTCTGGTCATAGCCACCATGGTCATTCCAGCCACAGTGACCTTTCTTTAAAGAAATGAAAAAATGAGTGCAAGTTCTTTTCTGATGTTAAAAAAATGAAAGAAAAAATTTAAGAACAATACAGTTAATTTTTTGGTGGGTATAGAGAGAAATTAGTTGGGTTCATATAGAATGGCCTCTTCAGGAGAAGATAAAATATTGAAATGGGCAAATTACAGATGCACCTCATGTGGTTGGCCGAAAAACAAAAGCCAACATACAATTTGTTTATCAACACTTATAGAACTTATGGTTTCATAAATAGGGGTAAATGCGACTAAATTCGTACGATGGTAAAACCTTAGAGGTAAAAATAATTCTAGATTTGTAAAAGATTAGAAGATCTAGAGTTTATTTTTTAATAGTAAAGTTTCTGATAGACAAACTATTCTTGTTTAAGGTGAAAAAGAAGCAAATATGCCCACATTTAGAAGTTTAACGCTTAATTGTCACGTGTCAAATTACACAGGTTTTCTTTCTAGGTTAGAATGTCTTTCTTAAAGGGAGTGCAAGTTAATAATATCGTATTACAGAGATTTTTTAAGATCATTAGTAACGCATTTTCTGATTTGCAGGCAGATGTAGATAACAGTGGAACCATTGATTATGGAGAATTCGTAGCTGCAACATTGCACCTAAACAAAATTGAGAGAGAAGATCATCTATTTGCAGCTTTCTCCTACTTTGATAAGGATGGAAGTGGCTATATTACTCCAGATGAGCTTCAACTAGCTTGTGAGGAGTTTGGCATAGAGGATGTTCGCCTTGAAGAAATGATACGAGAAGTTGATCAGGACAATGTAAGTGATTCTATGTTAACAATACATCATTGGTATTAGGATGGGAAGTAGTTGAGTGAACTTTTTCCCTGCATAGAAGGATGATGTGGCTCAAAATAAGGCATGGATCCCAAGTGTCTAAACTTGGGATGATTCAATAGTAAACTAGCATTATTTGGAGAGTATTGCCATAGGTTCACGTATTCGAAGGATGGTGCGACGGTTACAAAGAGTTATACAAAAAAAATTATTTTATAAACTGACATGGCAGTTCCATTTTCAGTTTGCTAGCATACATAAGAGGCATGCTAAACGCACCAAATTAATCATGTGATTACGGGTGGCTGCAAACTCAATTGCTGCGTCAGTTTATGAAACAAATTTGTTACGGTCAAACTGTGTCAATAGTATTTGCTTTTGTATGCACCCAGTAGCCTTTTGGTGACTGATTAGAAAGCAGTTCGCATGAAACTTGGTCAAACTGCATGTCTGCTTTGCGACCCTGAGTAATGAATTCATACAAAATTAATGACTTCAATGTCAAGTAACAGCTCTTTTACTATCGTGGTAATGTTGTTTGAAATAGTACTGTGGATTTGGGGTTTAGAACTCATGATGACCCAAAAGGGGAATGAGTATGTCAAGAATCCGTGCCTTGTCTTTGTTTCATTATTACATGTTTATACTAATATTTATTGCATAAGGGATGAGTTCTGTCAAGCCAGCCTTCTGATCTTTTTACATGTGAGAGTTACCCGTGTAAATTTCTTTCTTTTTATTTATTTATTGCAGGATGGGCGCATAGATTACAACGAGTTTGTGGCCATGATGCAAAAAGGAAATTTTGTTGGCCCAGGTAAGAAGGGCTTGCAAAGTAGCTTCAGCATTGCCTTTAGATAAGCTGTTACAATTTAGTTTCATAGATAGCAAAAGGGTTTCCTGCTTCATTCTTAAACTGTTTTGAGGTATTAAGAGTGTGTAGAAAGGTGCTTAACTGCTCATCCAAGTTGCAGCCAGACATTTCCGGTCATCCTTGCTGAATTTGTTGAGACTTCCACCCTGAAGGGATTTTGCAGTTTTAAGCCGAGCCCTTTCTATTTTGTATGCAGTGGGGAGAGATTTTTTTATTGCCATACGTATAACTTTTTTTTTCATCCATAATGAATATATGCATGCATACCTTGGATGGTTTAAAAGGCACAATTCTGATGGCATGCCGGCAAGTTTGGTTTTCATTCTTACAATTTTTTGTTCTCGAAATTGCGAACCAAGAAATCAACATTGTAGACAAGTTTTCGAACCAAGGCGAGGAAAGGAAAACAAAAACAGGGTTTTAGAATCACTTTTCAGGAAAGGAACTTATGTTCAGGAAGTATTGAATTGATGTCAATTATCTCAGTTCAACGAAGAACCTTTAAAAAAAACCTGTTATTGTTTATTAAAAATCATTTTCCTAAATCTGATGCATTTATGCCTGATATCAAACAACTACCACAAAGCCCATATGATGCATATAATAACTTCAAATATTAAAATAAGCATAAAAGTTTTTTAAAAACAAGAGGCACTAATCTGAATCCAAATACTCTTGGATGATAAGGCACCGTTTTTTTTTCTTCTCTTTTTAGCAGAGACCATTGCGTATGTGTATAAACGTAATATGGTAAATAATTATAAAACTGTAAGTCAAAAAAATTTCAGTATCCAACACAAGTTGGAATTTGGAAATTCTATTTCTTGTTTTGTTTTGTCTAGAATCATATTTCAAAAAAGAGTTCTGCATGTCCAATAAGAAAAAGAAAGAAGAATTCTACATGTACAACATTTTATCAGGAACGTATATTGGTTTAACCCATTCAGGAAACATGATCTGAGAACTCTGAGAAACCCTGGGAAACTGATTTGGGCAATAATCCAGTACAACTTGGTTTTATCCGATGAGACCGAGTGTTAGATTCATCCATGATGTAGCATTCAGATAATTCCTACTTTCCCAGCAGTTTTGAATGAAGGGATTCTGGTGCTGACTTCTGCCCAAAAGACTTCAAATGAACAGTAACAACTCCAACACAAAAGCAGGCGAGTAGGTCGTAGGTTGACTAATTGAATTTAGCAAGTCCATGAATTTGATCTCTTCATTACCGGCTTCATCTGTCTGTCTTCCTCGAGCGCTATCATACCCAAATGAGACGGATCTTCCAACATCATCTTTGCTACCAAGTACCCCGCAACTGACCAGGTCTGGAATTTACGGGCCTGCTTCCCAACGTAACGGCCAAGTTTCCCATCATAGTATTCAGGCCAATTGTCTTTCAGCAACCTGCTCTCTGCAAGTTCAATGGCACGTCTAGCAATCTGGGGCCGCCCAGTCTTGATGCATGCAGCAGTGAGAAGCCATAACAGCACTGTATCAACCAGAATGACAACATGTAAAAGGCAGGAAAAATAAAGGAACACCCTAACAATAACATTACCACATCATTTAATTATCACGGTGAGATGTATACGCAGGTATATGTAGAGTAATCAAGCTATGCAAAGTAAAAATACTACAGTTTTTATCTCAATTCACTGCTAATAACTCATGACCAAAACCTTTCTAGTGACAAAAATGATAACTTTTCCAAAAATTTATGGAGTAAAATAGTAATGAAACTTCCTACTCTACTTGCAAGTTGCATCTGTTGCTCTGTCCTAGAAAACCCCTATATTCTCTCATATCGTCTGCAATTATTTGCAGACATTCAGTCCATGCCAAGATAGCATTGATGCTGTCTTGAAAAATTTCAAACGCTGAATTATAGGGAAAAAGAAATTTGCACCATGGATAGAGAAATGTGGACAAAAGAGGGTCAAAAGGAAATCTACCAAATAGTGAAGAATAAGAGTTGGTTGAGTAAATATTCAATATACTTTCATGTAAACTGCAGAATTGGTCCAGCAGAATGGACCAAAGGAGGGGTGAAGGAGGCAACATGGGAGGAGGATGGGGAGCAGGGGAGACATTCTCCTTTTCCAATCTTTTTCTACTGATCTATTGTGCAATTTCCATAGAGTGGTGATTTCCCCACTCCAATTTTGTCCATTTACACTCCATTTTATAACTGAAAAAGGAGTGTAAGTGGTCAAAATGGGAGTGGGGAAATCATTACCCTTTCCATAATGCCATCAGTAGTTACGGTATAATTTTGTACAGAGGAGGCTATAGAGTGCAAGCATACCTGGCCAAGACCCTCCGTTGTGGTAGCTCCATCTCGTATTTTTCGGGTCACAGCCTGTTACAATCCGCCATTCATGACTTTCTATAGCTGGATAACAAACCTTTAGTGGCATTTCTCCTGCCAATTCTTCCCATCGTGATTCTATGAGATCCATTATTGCCATGGATTGTTCGGGGGTTGCCAAGGATGAAAGAATCGCTATACAATTACCCAAGCAAAACCAACGGAAATCCATTCTGGCGGGACTGATATTCCCAATAAAGTAACCACCACGAGTTGGCATAAAATCAAAGACCCAGTCTGGAAGAGAATCTGGTATCACATTGAACTTGTTGACTGCTGTATGTGAGTACTCTTCAGTTTTATATCGATATATGTCATTTAACTGCTTAAAGTCTAGCCAAAAGTAACTTCTCATGTGATAGCTCAAGGCATGAAGGCGTTTTACTATGCGCTCTACAAACTCCTTCCCCTCATCATCTTGCTTAAGCAACGCCAAAGCACATCTTAAAGCCATGAAGAAAAGAGCCTGAATTTCGATGGGGTACCCATAGATACCCTGAAAACACAAAACCAATACAGAAGTGAGCTTAAGGAATTGAAAAGATAGGCAACACAAAACCAAAATCTAAAAAAGCAGCATATTTATCTTAAAACACAAAATTGAAAGCAGCTAGTAGTGATGACTGATGAAGATCAATGAATGCTCTAACAAGAGAGTGCCCACAGTGCCTCATATTACAAGAAAATGTAATCTTCTTTTGTTTTTGTTTTTGTTTTTTTTGGTTTTGTTTTTGCAATTTAATTGATGGCAAGCTGAAAATTTGATGGGGAGATTAAAAGTTCTCAAAAGTCTGTGCACCAAAACATCACGATGGGTTTAGTTGCATGAATTTACCTCTGCCAGGGTCACAAGAACCTAAAACAATCCTTCAGGCAGAGATATCTTGGGGTTAACACGGCAAGTGAGTGACTTAGCTCATAAGCCTTTACAACAAACCTGATTTACAATATAATTTCGAATGCTGCACTCAGATCATGAGGAAGAAGGCACTAACTAGGAGATTCTTTTGTTTTGGCAGACAAGAAAATATCGACTCAAATTCGAATATGTTAGATCCAAGTTCCATCCTCCTAGACAATTAAACAAATGAGAAGGCTGACCAGGTTGACACGAAATTCAATATTTGAGTTACTCACAGAAGGATGATTTGAGTTTCTGAATGTTGTAGACTAAGTTACTAGCTGCAAAACTAACAACTTATGCATATGCTAATATTTTAAGGGCTTTGACTGTGGTGGACTCATGATATTAGGCATATATGGCCTGATTCATACCAGATGATAGAAAAACAGGACTCAACATAATTATGAAAATCTTACCATTCTACGATCAATCATGCAGCATCCATCAGCACAAAGAAGGGTTGGAAATGTGTCGAACCCCTCCGATAGACATAAACTTAGAATAAGCCGCATACCCTTCTGGCATTCAGGAAGTTCTGCTAATGAAGAGTCTCCAGTGGATTTTGTGTATGCTCGAAGCAATATGATCCACCAAAATCCAGAATCAACAGGAGCAACTCTTCCTATCGCACTCTCGCCAAAATCTGCTATTAAAGTCTCACTGTTCCTGACTGGATCATGGAGTACTTTGAAACTAGCTGGCATTACTCTCTAGAATCATATTTCAAAAAAGAGTTCTGCATGTCCAATAAGAAAAAGAAAGAAGAATTCTACATGTACAACATTTTATCAGGAACGTATATTGGTTTAACCCATTCAGGAAACATGATCTGAGAACTCTGAGAAACCCTGGGAAACTGATTTGGGCAATAATCCAGTACAACTTGGTTTTATCCGATGAGACCGAGTGTTAGATTCATCCATGATGTAGCATTCAGATAATTCCTACTTTCCCAGCAGTTTTGAATGAAGGGATTCTGGTGCTGACTTCTGCCCAAAAGACTTCAAATGAACAGTAACAACTCCAACACAAAAGCAGGCGAGTAGGTCGTAGGTTGACTAATTGAATTTAGCAAGTCCATGAATTTGATCTCTTCATTACCGGCTTCATCTGTCTGTCTTCCTCGAGCGCTATCATACCCAAATGAGACGGATCTTCCAACATCATCTTTGCTACCAAGTACCCCGCAACTGACCAGGTCTGGAATTTACGGGCCTGCTTCCCAACGTAACGGCCAAGTTTCCCATCATAGTATTCAGGCCAATTGTCTTTCAGCAACCTGCTCTCTGCAAGTTCAATGGCACGTCTAGCAATCTGGGGCCGCCCAGTCTTGATGCATGCAGCAGTGAGAAGCCATAACAGCACTGTATCAACCAGAATGACAACATGTAAAAGGCAGGAAAAATAAAGGAACACCCTAACAATAACATTACCACATCATTTAATTATCACGGTGAGATGTATACGCAGGTATATGTAGAGTAATCAAGCTATGCAAAGTAAAAATACTACAGTTTTTATCTCAATTCACTGCTAATAACTCATGACCAAAACCTTTCTAGTGACAAAAATGATAACTTTTCCAAAAATTTATGGAGTAAAATAGTAATGAAACTTCCTACTCTACTTGCAAGTTGCATCTGTTGCTCTGTCCTAGAAAACCCCTATATTCTCTCATATCGTCTGCAATTATTTGCAGACATTCAGTCCATGCCAAGATAGCATTGATGCTGTCTTGAAAAATTTCAAACGCTGAATTATAGGGAAAAAGAAATTTGCACCATGGATAGAGAAATGTGGACAAAAGAGGGTCAAAAGGAAATCTACCAAATAGTGAAGAATAAGAGTTGGTTGAGTAAATATTCAATATACTTTCATGTAAACTGCAGAATTGGTCCAGCAGAATGGACCAAAGGAGGGGTGAAGGAGGCAACATGGGAGGAGGATGGGGAGCAGGGGAGACATTCTCCTTTTCCAATCTTTTTCTACTGATCTATTGTGCAATTTCCATAGAGTGGTGATTTCCCCACTCCAATTTTGTCCATTTACACTCCATTTTATAACTGAAAAAGGAGTGTAAGTGGTCAAAATGGGAGTGGGGAAATCATTACCCTTTCCATAATGCCATCAGTAGTTACGGTATAATTTTGTACAGAGGAGGCTATAGAGTGCAAGCATACCTGGCCAAGACCCTCCGTTGTGGTAGCTCCATCTCGTATTTTTCGGGTCACAGCCTGTTACAATCCGCCATTCATGACTTTCTATAGCTGGATAAATGGAACCTATCAATCTTTTTCTCCCATGACTGAAGACGCAGAGTCTTCAAGATAAAATTTTTAACTATTTCAGGTTCACCATTCATCAAAAAAGCCAATCCACTGGGGACAAAGTCTCTGACAAACACCTTCACAGATGCATAAGAAGAAAAAATAAGAAAAAAATTTGTGATTGCCAACTTCATGGAACAGAAACTCTGCCTGGTAAATCAGAGTTAAAGAAAAGCACAAATGGAGAAATGGATAAGTTGAAAGTTGAAACTAATAAAGTTTGTTCAACATATAAAAAAATATGTCCTGCATAAAGAATATCCAAGGCAGAAGATATCCCACAGTTTGAAATATATTATTGGAACATTAAATCAGCAAGTTAATTATAAAGCTTGGAAACTCGGGTATTCCGCTCCCCTCTGCCCCCAGGCAGACAATGTGCCTAAGCCTGTTTGTATGCATGTATCAAAAGTCCTAAGACCTGTATACAGTATACATATAAACATGGTGGTCATCAAAAACTGAAAATGTGGCTCCCCAAGACGACTAAGGGACTGACAAGAAGGATAACACAATGCATTTCAAATTTGTTTACTATACGGATGTGTCACAATAACTCATGTCTTCAATGCAAAAACATCATAAATGTTCCTTATGTGTGTGTATTTGTAGGGTGATACTGATGCAGGACGCATATGACCTAAATTTATTAGTTTCCTAATGTATTTGTTAGTTTCCTAGATTCTCTAGTTTTCCCAATTCTAGTAGGATTTCTACTCTTCCAGATTTCCAGATTTCTAGTTTTAAGTTTCCTATTTTATTTGGGTTAGGATTTCTATTTAAGCAAGGGATTTTTATCCTATTATGTATAGGTTTTAGTTTGCTATAAATACCCCCATGTAGTTCTTTAAAATTAAGATTTGGATATTGAGTAAACCTTCTCTTAACACTATGTGATTTCTGTTCTTCCTTCTCAGTTCTCTGATTTCGGTCCTTTCTTTCGTCCCTTCGATCTATATTTTCATCTCCTCGACCTCCGATATTCTTCTTGTTCTACTTTTCTGCCCTTTCTTTCATCTTTCGATCTATATTTTCGTCTCCTCGATCTCTTATATTCTTCTATGTTCTATTGTTTGCGTGTTTACACTACAAACTACGGGCTGTTCTACATCAGATACTATAACCAAAAGATTGAAAACATAAACAAATGGAGATATACAAACAATGAAGTCTTAGGTTCTCTCTATTATTGCAGACTCAACGTTCCAAGAATATATACATTTAATACAACGAACAAGGAAAGGAGGTCTCTACCTGATCATAGTTAAGTTTTTCTTCAGAGGTATCTGTTGCAGCAATTGTCCCAACTGGCTGACCACGGAAAAACACCAACGAACGCCTCAAAGTTTCCCAGGCTTCAGCAACCATTGGATGTGGCTCAAAGCCAGTCAGTGACCTAGGGGTGCCAATGAATGACCTTCTACCGGGTGAAAATAAATATTCAGGATGGTCAAAAAATCTGGAAGAGTTATCAGCATTTCTTGATGAGTGACGTGGGGACAACGCAACAGATAGTTCACTGAGTGACCTCTCATCAAATGATCTTTTTCTCTCCATATTCAGAAGGCTTGGTCGGTCTAACAACTTTGAAAAATCAATTTCTTCAATTTCTGCCACACTACATAAGGAATCAACATGCCTTATATTTCCATTGTGAGACATGTCTGAATTGGGTATTGACATTTCCACAGATTTCAGCACTTGACAGACAGTGACCCAATGGTTAGTTTAGTGCTCAACACCCACCCTGCAATTCAACCACCAGATTTGAACCATTCATCATCTGCAAAAAGGCAGTAATCATCTATTTCCACCTCTCCCACGTGACCAATAACGGATAAGAACCCATTTACTTTACTACTCTATCCAATGAAAACAAATAGAAATATTCCAATTATAGAATGATAATTGACAATTAAGAAGTGGTTTACAAACCAAGTTTGTTGCATACAGCAGGAAAATTCACAACCCTCCAGTTTCCCAATTACAATCAATAATATATATCATTATAACGATGCTCCAAAAGAACGTAGGAAACCAAATATATTACTATGTTTCCAATCCTTCAAATTTCAGCAGTTAGGTATCTCAATAATTTACCAAACAAAATGAAAGGTGGGTTTTCGATTTCTGTAAAGCCAAATAAAAAGTAATAATCAATGGATTAAATTTGATTCTCATTTCCACTTGTTTCTTCAGCAGCCAAACAGATATGTGACTAGCATGTAAGAAAATACTCAAATCTGTTCGCCGCAAGAAGAGCAATTCCCGGAAAACAAATCCCAGAACTGATGTAGAATGCTTCAAGATCCAATCAAGTTGAATACTTTGATAATCCAAACCCATCAAAACATGCATGCAGTATGGAATGGACATCGATTAATTAATTGGTTTTCAAGAACAGAGAACTAACCTCAAAGGAGTCTCCAAAGGCCAAGCTTGAGATATAAAATCAATTGAAAGAAAGAAAGAAAGAACCAAGCTCACTACTGAGAGTGTATTCTTATAGAATTTTTGTTGGGTACCATGAGGCGGTGGTGGGCCACTCAGTACTCTGTGAAATGGTAGAGATGACTGGCAGATGGGTTTGGGGTTAGAATGCCTAAACATCACTGCTACATCATATACATGAGACCTCTTCGGCCTAGCATAAGAGGCTCTGTGATGTACGGAAGATTTTATTTTATTTTATTTTTTTTTCGGTCGGAACGGAAGATGTTGACACTTTGGTGCATCGTGGATGATTTTTATTGACTGTGATGGGCAACTTGGTTGCGTTACATGTCGACTTAATTAGTGTTTCCGATGCATATTAATATTAGGGATTTTTGTGAACTTATACATGAGTTTCAATTTGTCACTTTAAAGAAAAATTTAAACAAAATATCACCTTAAGTTTTTAAAATCCATGATTTGTCACATGACTTTAACATCATCCAATTTTCCATCAATTTTGAAGGGTATTTTAGTCTTTTCAATATGTAAACCCTCTTTTTTGTATAATTTAAATATAAAGCTATGTAAACCTTCTTGTTTGGAAAGACTAAAATACCCTTAAAAATGGATGGAAAATTGGATGATGTTAAAGTAATGTGACAAATCATGAATTTTGAAAACTTTAGGTTACATTTTGCTTAAATTTTTCTTTAAGATAACAAATTGAAACTGATGTATAAGTTCAGGTACAAATATCCATTAATATTATAAAAATGCTTAAACGGTGAGCTCAATGGCGGAACCACACTAAGGGCTACAGTGGGTTGTAGCCCAGTGTGGTTTTTTAAGAAAAAAAATATAAAACTTATGTATTTAACTTATTTTCAATATTTTACTTTCATTTATTTTTATATTACTCCATTTACTTAAGTTTACAATGTAAATAAGGAAGTTCCCCCCATTTGGATTCAAATAAAAATACTAGAAAATCAAATTCCCACCAAATCAAAATATGAAAAAGCGGTGTTAGTGTAAAATACGATTTAGGCTAAAAATGATGGCTCATTAAGCCAATATATACTTGATACTAAAATCCCATAAAATCAAGTTTTCTTATTTGATGTGTGAGGAATAAAAACCGCCAAAAATTATCTTGAGAAAATGATTATTCCTAAAAACCATTTTTCATACTTAGTCAATATTTTTACATAAAATAATTTTTCATGTATGATATGAATGCATGAAGGGACCTAATGTCAATTTAGATAAAAAACCTTAGATGTTCAATCCACTATGGTGTTAAACCCTATTTGGTTTATATTAAAACTTATTGAAAATTAGTCTATGGAACTATGAACTAGCGTGGTTTATATGATTTAATGTTTACTTTTATTTTTAGAAAGACTACAGTAATTGTAAGTACAAAAAAAATATATATATCATTAAATTTTAAGCTAATAATTTTAGCTAGCCCACCCGTTGAAAACTTCCTGGTTCCGCCCTTGGGTGAGCTAAAATGCTTAAACGGTGATCCTTTACCAACAACAAAGAGAGAAGCACACTCACAGAGTCACATGTGGAACCCTAGACATCCTGTGATCTAATCAGCAAATTGCAAAAACTCGGCCAAACTTTTAAAGTTTCTAAGATTAATCAGCAAATTGAGATGATAAAATAAAACCTTGTCTTACGTTGACCTAATTGTCGTACGTGCGTAGGATTGATCACCACGTGCAAGCTACTTGGCATGGTTAAGTAGTGCATGCCTACCTCATGCGAGCATGCTTCATGTGTGACTTCAAATAAAATGAAAGGGTAATGCTAGGCTTACCACATTTTTCATACCACATTCATACCACCTCTCTAATAGAGGTGGAGCCCACCAATACAATGGGGCCCACCTCTATTAGAGAGGTGGTATGAATGTAGTATGAAAAATGTGGTAAGCCTAGCATTTTCCAAAATGAAAACATGGACACCTAAGGCCACATGCGGATCTACTCCAGCCGAGTGCTGAATTTTTTTTGGGGTAGGCTTAGTGGTATAAGTCAAATGTAGGTAAAGTAAATAATAGGCTAGTCGTGTATTTAAAAGAAGCACAACTCTCTATATAGAACTAAGCCAACTCTTGAAACATATATGAAATAGTAAACATGCAAATCCATAACCTATATAAATTTGATTAGAAACAGATATCATAATTTTTCTTTTAGCCATCCAAAACACCATATTTGAACTTTGAGAGCCTAGAAGAAATAGCTCTACCCCTCTTAAAAATTGTACCAACCTATCATTTTGTCTTCTGAATTCACTGTCGCTCTTTCTCTTCTTTAGTTCTTCTCTTCTCTTCGGTGTCATACTCAAAGAAAACCCAACTCACGCTCTCAGCCCCAAATTTGGTTATCTTTCTATGGGAGCAAATATTTTCATCTCCAATCATGAGACACCACGTGGACAAGAAGAATATTCCCTGGGTTAATTAATTGAGTCCATTTATTTGGCCAACTAATTAATACTAAAAATAGGGATAATATCACCAATTTAGATATTATCCCAATTTGAAGATATAATCATCAAATTACGAGATTTGATCCCAATCAAATCCTTAATGGACTCAATCTCTGCAATTTTGGGAAAGAATAAACTCCTTCCAAAGAAGAGTTTATTCTTTGCAAAACCCTAGCCTCCAAGGCTACTATTGTAACATCCCTATCAAAAAATAATTATTAAATAAAAAATTTAACTATGGAATTACATTTTTACCCTTAAGGGTAAGGGTAAATTGGTCACTTTTAATTTGAAAAGGATTTTGGGGAATTGAAATGCGCCATTGCATAGAGCTCACTCTCACGAGTTCGTAGACACATAGTGGGCTCAAATCGGAGTTTTAACGAAGAAGTTATGGTCAATGAAATTGCAATGGCACAACCGCAAATTTCTTGAAGTTGGGTTTAAAAAAAATCTGGTCTTCTCTCTCTTCCAACGATTCTCTCTCTCTCTCTCTCTCTCTCTCTCTCTCTCTCT